AATGACTATGGTACAAATGCGGGGGCCTCTAACCACCCAGTAGAGGCCTTCGGCCTACAATATCTTAGACTTAATTAAATTTCATAAGTTGACTTGGGCTGCTTGTCTCCGTCTCTCTTCRTYCTCCTTCTTCATCAAAAYTTCATGGATAAAGACTGCGACTGTGTCCCAGGAGTTCTTACTTGACAGCATGATTGGGATTATGTTGTCTGGAGTGACCGTAGTTCCGCACATGATGTTGACTCTGGCACGTTTGATTTCCCAGGCGTCGCATTTAAAGATGGTGTGCAGTGCATCGTCTACCGCGTGACCGCAGTACCAACACTYGGGAGAGCCTARCTTTCCAAACCTGTGTAAGTACTCCGGGAAACATCCGTGGCCGGTTAGAAATTGCGTGAGGTGGAAGTCAACGTCGCCGTGCCTCCTGTTCATCCAATGAGTGATAGACGGTATCAGACGATGAGTCCATCTTCCTGGACCGGGTTGATCCCACCGCGTTTGCCATGACTCGAGGGTGCCGTATCTGGCCTTTCCTCTGGCTTCTGGGTCGTCCTTGCACGAAAAGATGAAAAGGCGTTCTTTGGCGAGTAAGTCGATCGGCGGCATGGAAGCCACAACGAGTGCCGCGYTCGTCGAGACGGTGCAGTATGCGGACGCCACCCTGAGCGCCGTTTTCCGCTGAACTTTAGCCATCTCCGCTGTACATTTGGCACTCATGCGATCTGCCCAGGTTGGGGCGCCAAAAAGTAGTAGTGAGTGGACTACGTTTCCGAGTAGTCTCCTCTTTCTGGCCGTTGCAGCGCTAATGTTCGGCATGATTCTGCTGAGCTTCTGGCAAGCCATGCTGGCTTTTGCTGAGGCATTTATAGCGTGCTCAGTAAAGCAAAGCTTGGAGTCAATTTGAATACCCAGGTATCTAATACTCTTTTTAGCTTGCACGAAGGAATCTTCTACCGCAACGTTCACTTCGGTGTGGGTTCTTCTGGTCGTGATGACCAGTGCTTCGGATTTCTGAGCAGCGATCYGGAGTCCTACGTCCTTCAGCCAGCTGCAGRATCGTTTGGCTGCTTCCGTCAGGTCGCTCTCAATGGTGTAGTTATCGTTGGCCTTKGACACAAGGGCGATGTCGTCAGCGAAAGCGATGGGAGTGACGGAGCGTGGGAGTCTGACGTTCAGGAGATCGTCATAAAGAACGTTCCACAAGGTGGGTCCGAGAACCGATCCCTGTGGAACGCCACTGGACAGCTCCGTGATCGTCTGTCCTCCTGTGGTGGTGTACGTGATGGATCGCCCAGACAAGTAGCTATCAATCAATTTGCATAGGTACACGGGTGTGTCCTTTTCGCGGAGGGCATCAAGTATCTTGGCCCAGGGTGCTGAGTTGAATGCATTTTTTATGTCTAGTGTGAGGACCCCTGTCATGCTCTTTGGGCCACTGCCCTGCGCGATAGACATAAGCAGACTCACGGCATCGGTGGTGGATCTGCCGCTGCGAAAGCCAAACTGACGGTCGCTGAGACCGTTAGTGTTGTCTAAGTGATTCCTAATCCGGTGGTCGATGATCTTCTCAAATAGTTTTGCCRTGCTATCCAGCAGACAGAGCGGTCGGTAGGATGATGGGTCGTGCAGTGGTTTGTCTCCCTTCCTTAGCAGCACGAGCCGAGCCCTCTTCCAGGCGATCKGRAAGAGACCCTCTTGGATGCATTTGTTGTAGACGCTGGTTAAAAGCTCCGGACGTTTGGCGGCCAGGAGCTTCAGAGCCTCGTTCGGGATTCCATCTGGTCCGGGTGCGATATTGTTCTTAGTGCGCTTTGCTGCTAGCTGCACCTCGTCGGCCGTGATGGCGACATCTGTGAGGTCTGATTTTGGTATGGTTGGCCAGTWGACGTGTGACCGGGGTGGATGGGCTGGGAAGAGTGCATCGACTATGCGACTGACGACGTCAGGTGAGTCCAGACCGGGGATCGGCTGGTGCCTCTTGAGTTTACCCATGACAAGTTTGTAGGGAGTGCCCCAGGGATCGCTTTCAACTTGGTCGCAGAGCACTTTCCAAGCCCTATCCTTGGCCGCTTTAATTGCCTTAACCAGGTCTAGCTTAGCTTCTTTGGCGGCTGTTTCTAACGTCGATGCTGCTAGGGGGCCTAGCCGTTTCTTCTTCCTTTGAAACACCCTGCGCGCATGATTGGCCGTTTTTCTGAGAGCGTTGATTTCTGGTGACCACCAATAAACAGATTTTCTGCCGCTCCCGACAGCCGACTTCGTCATACTGACCGCGTGTAGTTTGGAGGTCAGGAGGGCAGCACACACCTCAGCACTTGATGTTTCCGAGGCCTCGGACAGTTGCTCCGAAGAGAGTGCTTCTACCAGCTTCTTGCGATTAAATCTCCACTTGATCGAGGGTGGAGGGATGCTAGGAGAGGAGGCTTGGTCCGTGTGAATGTTGTAACTAATGTAGCTGTGATGGCTTAGGGATTCCGCATCCAAGACGCACCAGTCGGAGACAGCCCCTGCCATCCCAGGGGAACAGAAGGTGATGTCGATGATGGAGCCGGACTTGAATGTAGGATCATTGCCCTTGTTGCAGACGTCAATGCCAAGTGCATGAATCATGTCAGACTGTGCCTCACCTCTGCGATCGTTTGTCTTTGATCCCCAGTCTGAATGCTTCGCATTGAAGTCGCCTGCGAGCAGAATGTCCTCTGTGGTAAGCCTGATGCTTCTTTCTAGCCTAAGAAGGAAGTCTTGGAAATCGGCGAGGGACGTATTAGGGGACCAGTAGCAGGAATAAATCCTTATCCCGACTGCTGAAACCCACCTGAATCCAGTCTCGCAGGTCCCAGTACAGGTGATGACTGCATTTTTTGTGTTGACAATTGCCGCTTTATTGTTGGCGTCGACGTGCCAGGTGGGGTCTGCCTTATTGTGTTCGGACACTATGAGAAAGTCGACTGATTTCTCTGCCGCCATTTGATGCATTAGTGCTTGAGCTGCTTTGCAGCTGTTCAAATTTATCTGCAGAAAAGCTATCATTGTTGTTGCGGTGCGGCTATGGGTAGGCTAAGGGAAGCCTGTCCACTGTGTGACTGAGCCATCTTGTAGGATGAGCACTTGCTACTGCCAGGGTAGTGGTCCGTGGGGGGTTTTTGCACTCCGTTGCTCTGTGCCCGGCAGAAGCGCACAGGCTGCATACGTCGGTGCGATCCATACCGATATACTTGGATCTTACATGACCGTAGGCATCTGAAGCATCTAGGAACTTTGTCGCGAATAAGTACTCTGGCCCTGACCAACCCTATTTTGACCTTGCCCTCCTTGATTATATCCGAGATGTCGACACGTTTCATTGAGGCTGTGGCTCTTCTTGTGCCGTTAGGAGCAGGCCTCACGTTTTTTATTCTGACYGARGTGTCAGATTCTGGTAGGCCAGCTGCGTTCTTCAGGGCATCGGCAATCTCTGTGTCGGTTGTCACGCCATCCAGACCAGTAATGTCGAGGTCAACGTAGCTTACCAGACCTCTTACTGTGGCCCGGGCTCCCAATGCATCCCTTATGGCAACCTCGAGGCCGCACCTCTTGTCTTCGCCTCTCGTTACCCCGATCAGCACCTTCACCGCCTCTGCTCTCAGCGACGGAAGTGATGTGGGCGCCTGTACTGTCTACGTCAACGTCTTTCCTGACCGCTTTTAGAATGTCAGCAAATGTCTGACCACTGCTAGGCCTGATGGCGATTGCATCCGGGGGAGGGCGTTTAGGTCGCTTGCTGGAGGTATTTGGAGGTTTTGTTTTGCGGGGTTTCTTCCGGCTTACGACAGACCAGTTTCCAGTACCGATTTCCCTGGGAGATTTTGCGAAGTTTGTCTCGGCCAGGGTCAGGTTCTCCTGTTGTCGCGGCTGTTGCATCTGCTGCCGTTTCTGTTGCTGTTGCTGGTGCTGCTGCTGCTTTGGCTTTTGGTGGGAAGTTGTTTGAGTGAGAGGAGCGGTGTTTGTCGTGGAATCCTTAGTTTGCGCGCGACTTGCACACTTCTGTTCTGGGTAGGGGGTGTCGGTCTGCGTTGTAGAGGTCCTGGTCTTCGGGGGAGCCGCACTTGCGAGCGGTTGAACGCTGGAAGCGGGCTGGGAACATTGGCAGATGTTACCCTGGGCGAGGCGCATGGATGACTTGAAGGCCTTCACGACCTTGTCATAGGCACTTCTGACTAGGTCAATCGTGTTTAGAACATCGCTAATGGCCGTTTGAACCTGTGGGCTCTTGGACTTTGTGCTGATGGTTTGAAGGGCGCTGGCCTTCTCCAACATTAAATTCAAGGCACTCTGTTGTCCATTGAGTTGGCTCTTGAGGGAGCTCATGGCCAAGGCCAGAGTCCTCTTGCTGCCATTAGCAGAGGGTCGTTGCGTGCCCTCTTGGGACACGACTGTCTCAGCACTAGTARCAGKGAGGATGACGGGGGCCTGGCTGGCCACCCCCGCATCCCTGCAGTCATTGGATGACGACCGCCGGGAGCCCGCTTGCTCACTCCCGACTGCCGGCACCTGGGGGTCCRAATCYCCTGGTGCGGTAACCAAATTTCTGTTTTGAACGTCCATTTGTAGTTTTTGTAAAGGGTGCCTCTCCCTTGCGTTTTAGCCCTGCCGCCAGGGGGATTTTAGTCAGTGTTACCTTCACCTATGTCCGTTTGCAGGCGCTTGCAGGTGGACCAGACCCCCCAGGTCCCATCATTTATTGTTAATATACATACAACATTTTTTGGTCTGTCACAGGGACAATACCCCTATGTTAGACCGCACAAGATTATTTACAATTCATGAAGGGCTCTATCCCTTCAATTTTTGCCTTCGGCGTACATCAAAATATATATAATTTATGTTTTCTGGTGTMTTCTTCTGGGTTCTCGAGCCGACAATCGTCCGCCGCTCTCGACTTCTCGTTCTGTTTTGCCTTTTCCCTTCAGGTCCCTGGTGCCGTCTCTACTGTGCAGCTGCGGCAATTGCTTGTCTCCTT